TACCGTTAAGTTGTACAACCTCCCAACTACTTTTTTCTGTGATTGTAGATCAAAGCTAAAGAAAGCCGAATACGCCACTTGCACATCTCGCATAATGCACCTTACTTGCCCAGTAAAATTTTGCATAACCTTTGTTTTTTTATTTCTGCTGGGTATTACAGCCGTCCCAAGAGAAATTGATAACAATGCTTATGCAACATTTTGGAGGGCAACAAAGGTGCATTATGGGAGATGTGCAAGTGGCGTATATGGGCTTCCAACAACCGATTTCTGATTCCCGCCAAGTTCCAACTTCTAACTTCCAACTAGCATAAGAACACAGCCTTTCTTCTACACTCCTCGCCGCTAGCAGCTAGGAGTGAGGAGCGACGGCTGTATTCGCAGGCTAACTTCCAACTTCCACTTAGAAATTCCCACTTCAGAATGGGCTTGGTTTTCGCTGTTAGAGTGCCCTGTGATTCTCCTGGAAATCGTGCCAAATTTGAGGGCTAACTTCGAAGTAAAAACTTCAAGGGTTGGCAGACCACACGATCTCTACTGGTGCGAAACCTTTGAAAAGCTTTTACATATTTCCTTAACGAGGAGATTACATTTTAAATTGTATGATAGGTGGTATATCGCTAACAATGTCTCAGACTTCATTTATTTACCTTTTACAAATCTTACATTCTATATCGGATCAGTGCTATGCAACTCTTAACTGTTCTTAGTGCTTTAAACTTAGTGATAAACGCTACCTATTTTAATAGAATAAAAATGTAATTTAAGCTCCTTTAATTGAGCGTCTTAAAAGAATAACATTTCAATTAACATGTTATTCATTTACTTATATAGACATGAAAAAATATTACAAGATTTTACTTCTCAACGAAGTCTCCTTAAAAAGTACACTTATTTGTAAATACATTTTAATGTAAAAGTTCCGATCAAACATTTTTTGTTTTCGTAGTGCAGTGAGTTCAAAACTCTCCATTGCTATCTATCGTTACACAAAAAAAAGAGAATGATAAATAACTCCAATTCAAGATGCACTTGCAATGCAAAACGTTTCTGAGGTTTTTGGTCAAGGAGGGTAGAGCAAAGGAGTTTTCTTTGTTGGAAGGCTCAGAGGCCAGTGCTTAGAACTGAAAACACTTCACGGCAGCCATTTGTTTCATTTTGTTTTGTTCTCTTCAAAACTTCTGTCCCCTTCCTATCATACATGAGTAACAAAGTAAAAATCTGCGGCTAAGGGCCTGCATTTTCCCATATTAGCCTAAATGGGTTTCTAAAAGCCTCGTTTACACGACAAGCGGTTCGGGCACGGCAACCCTTAAATTTGGCACGCGTGCCTGAACGTTTTGGCACGGCACCCCTTTTTACCGTGCAAATACAACTTTTTCAAGAACGGGTGACTAAAAATTTGGGGGTGCCGGGACCACGTGAATAGGTGGAGGTCCGGTATCCGTTTTTAGCGGTGCTGTGCTCAAATTTTCTATCCTAGCTGAGAATTGTGGATCAATTTCAAGATGGCGTCACGTTCGAACAACAAAGTAACGTGGTGGAGGCAACAGAGGTCTTGATAGACATTTACAACGAGACACGCATCCAGGTATCGTTAGAGAATTCGAAAACATCTAAAGAAAACTCCAAGATTGTAGGACAGAACAGATAACATCTAGCACGGCTTGGACTAACAGCCAATTGGGTGAGAGACTTGCTCCCTCCCCGATCAACTATCTTTTCCTGAAAATTTATATTTCTTCGCTTCTCAATGAAATACCATACTGTTGGAAAATCCTGAAATTAGAATGACCGAGACCAGGTTTTATGAGCCCGTGAGATTGAGCATCCCAGCCAAACCCTTGTTTTCACTAGAACCGCTGGACGCCACAATCTGCTTGAGGTCATTGTTATCTAAGGTCTTCAATACTGTTGACTGCGTCGAATGAGTCTACACTTCGCCATCTTGAAACTGATAAACCGCATTAAGCCGCTGACAAATGGATCGATATGCTCGTTAATTTAGAGGTGCCGTTTCTAATTTTAACAATGCCCATAAAAAATGGCGGTATCCTAAAATAGAGATAATTCTGTCGAGTAAAAGCCGAAAATTAACGCACTAGTGCAAAAACAAAGAAGTGCCGTACCCAAAACTTCCGTCATGTAAACCGGGCTTTTGCCGCTGATAAATTAACAACAACAACAACAACAACAGTAATAATAATAATAACAACATTTACTTCTATAGCGCCATTTCCATTGCTGTCCAATGGCGCTTTACAACAACGATTAATTTTTTTTATAAAAACTGAGTTAAAAAAAAATAATAATAATGCACTGTTAAAAAAAATTAGAATTAAGCTATGCATTATAATATACAAATTGTTAAAATAAATAAAAATATAAATAAAATCCAAGAAAAATCGAATAAAAAGAAAATGTACGAAATATGATCCTAGAATAATTATAAATTAAAAGCCTTCTTAAAAAGCGGTGAGGGTAAAAGCTGGAATGAGTTTGCGGAATGGCATGTGGCATGGCTTGCGGAATGACATAATTATGCAGAATTTAATTTATGGAAAATGGCGCAAAGAAAAAAAATTCAACAGGAAAGCATGCGCGCGTCTCTGCCGCGCCTTTTTTGGCGCCAATTTGAGCGAGCAATCGATTTACCGGTCCATTTATTACTGCTATTACAGCAAGGCTAAAATTGAAACACAGCCGATACCCGAATACTTCATAAATCATCCGTAGCTCGTTTCCAAAATAAACTGAAACGGTTCTTTACTCACGTCGGCTTTTCAGTCTTTTCCAGTGAAGCGCAGTGAAAGTACGAAAACTTGTCAAGTTTAAACAGTCTTCTATTGAGTTTTACTCTCCTCATTACATAGAAAAACGTCGTAACGGCGGAAGAGGTAAAATAGAAAGGAAGAGAGAGGACCCTGGGATCTAGAGCTGTTAGGAAATGGCAGACTTGGTAATCCCAAGTGAAATAATAAAAGAAATAAACCTCGTAAATACGTGCAGACGTACTGTGTCGTAAATCTGTCTGGGTTTTTAGGGGTATATAACCTGTGCTACTTGGCTAAACTGAAATCAAGGGTCACTCTTTGTGGTAACGCTAGAGGGTAAAAAACGCTCGCTGAACATGAAGTCGGGCTAGCAACAATTCTAGGGATTTTTAATACGGGGAACGAATCAGATCATATTCGAGACTAAATGAACGCTTGCCTGAAACTTCACCACGCAGCCAAGAAAACAAAATACAAGATACGTTCGATCTCTGAATATTATGTCACGAACAATTAATTACGCGACCCACCGTCTGAAAAAGAAACACTTCTCACCCGGTTTCAAATGCAAATAAAGGTAAAAAAAAAAAAAGTGACGTTAATCGTGCAAATATCTTTTGCAGAAAAAATTAAAGCAGAAGAGAGTATGACCTTCCGAAACATATTTTCTTCAATGGCCGTCTTTCGTGATGTAGTATCGGTGCTGCCAGCAGCCTGACTAATAAAGGCAAGTAGAATCTTTGTGGCTGTGCAAAAAGCTAACCGACCGTGAGAAATCAAGGAGTCTTTCCTGGCTTTTTGATTGTCATCGTAGTAGGGCCCGCAACATTAAAGAAGCGGCTGCTTATGAATTGAATGGCGCCACAAAAGGACGCAATTTTCAGATTAATTAATTTCTTCAAGTCATTTTGCATACATTACATTCCGCATAATTATGTCATTCAGCTAGCCATGCCACATGCCATTCCGCAAACTCATTCCTCCTTTTACCCTCACCGCTTAAAAAGATAAGATTTAACTAAACGTTTACATTGATTAAGACAACCGCAGTACCTTTCATTCTGGGGTAATTCGTTCCACAGAGCAGGGGCTGCGGATGAGACAGCTCTGTAACCATACGTTTTTAGATTATAGGACATACTGATAAGACGATTGGTATTAAAAGATCTAAGGTTCCTACTCGATACGTACAGCTTAACTAATTCAGAGAGATAAGTCGGAGCAAGATTATTCAGCGCCTTATAACTTATTAATAATATCTCTAAAAAACACGTTGTTCAACTGGTAACCAGTGGAGCCCTTCTAAAATATGGGTGATGCGTTGTCTTTTGCCTGTAAACTTGACAGCCCTTGCTGCTGCATTCTGAACTGCCTTTTGAGAATTCCGAGGTATTCCATATAAAAGGGAATTGCAAAAGTCTAATCTTGATGTTACAAAAGCATGCTATATAGGTTTTTTCATTTTCTCAAGAAATTAATTACATTGTAGCTGCTGCAATTTAGTGGTAGTCAGCCTATTCCTTGCACAGAGGGGATCTAAGTGGCACATTTTAGCCTAATAGGTTCTAAAAACTAAGTTTTAATTTCGGGTTTTTACTGCAACTCGTTTTGGAAACACAAATCTCATGATTTAACAATTATTGAATTCGGCTTTCGTATCATCTGAAGAATTATGGAGATCTCGGAGGGTGTTATCCGCCACAGGCCTCGGCGCATAACACCCTCCGAAATCTCCATAATTCTTCAGATGATACGAAAGCCGAATTCAATAATTGTTTTATTATTCATTCACAATAATTCCTAGTTAAAAAAACAAGCTAAAACATGGTTACCTCCATCGATAGTGCATGTTAATCAGCACGTTTAGCATAAAAAGGGTTGTTTAGCCCCGAAAATATTCTCCACTAGCAGATGTCGTCCGTCGAGTTGTCTTCTTGCTGTTCTTGCTATGTTTTTAGCCAACAGTTCGCCTATTTCCTGCTCGTGAAACGAGTGAAATGTTCGGTTATTTTTGTACTCACTACGAAAACAACTAAACCTCGTCCCCAGGTCTTCTTCTTCTGCACGATTGACGTCATCAGTTCAATATCGCAAAATTCTTCCAAATTTGGTAAACAGTGGCTGGTTATGATGAATTATGCGTGTGATTTTAGCCAATCAGAAATATTTTGAATGAATAATAAACCTCATTTTAGTATCCAGCTGCTAAGAATGTTTTCTTAATAGTTAATTGCTTTCTTTTCTTTTTTGCCCCCTTGATTTTTCCTTCAGAATAATAAGTCTAACCATTCCACGAGTGAAAGCACAATAATTTACCCGTTTAGGCAACACATCTTTGTTGGTATAGTCGAACGATTCGCGAACGATAAGGACGATGGGCCGTTCCAAACCACCATACTCCGTCACGGTGCTGAGAACAATATTGTCATCATCATTTCTTTCAGCATTCACGGTTAAAGTGAACTCTTGCAACTGTTCAAGTTCACTGCCTTCTAGGGGTTCAGTTAAACACAAAACAGCGATATCGCCTTTACTGTACCCTTCTTTTAGCAGCGACTCAAGTACTCCAATCAAACAAGGAATTCGTTCTCCTTTTGAATACTCTACCTCACTTTGTTCTCCGTCGAAATCGTGGCCTATTGTCACCTTCCGAACGTCCATTCTTCGTTCTTGTTTTTGGAGTAGTTCTCTATACATCAGCGGATCATCCTTCGCAAGCTTCTTCAGTAGTCTGTGTCTAGGCATTTCGGCTCCAGGCCAAGTTCGCCCATCAAGGAATTTTTCGGCGTGTTCGAAGATCCTCTTGGAGTTCCTTATCACTTTCCTCAGAAGAAACGTCTGGCGAAGACGTTTTGGTATGCCTGTTTCAGACTTCTTTGAAATGCTTTGTCCTTTGTCCATGAAACACCACAGATAGCCTGGGCCATCATTTTGCCAAATGCTGTACTCTGAATCCGGTCCAGCGACAGAGTTTGTATCAGAGTTGTCCTGTTCAGTTTCGGATTCGCTGCAAGACTCCGACACTTTTTCATTGTCAGAGGTGTAGTCATCATCACTGGATTCACGTTCAAGATGTTGTTTGACGAGCGTTCTAGCTTTTCCAAGCCAATCTCCATCTTTAGCTTGAAAATTATGTACCTCGTCCAGGATTACGTGCCTGATTTGAGAAAACCTCTCCTCCATAAAGGCTTTTCGGGTACGGCACTCGCATATCTTAAGTTTCCTATAAATAGCGAGAAAGAACAGGCACATTGTATTGAGAAAAATGTTATAATGTAGTTCCTTAAGGGCAACAAGACTTAGCTAGACTTGTCGCAGTCGAAGCATGCGGCTCAGTATCGTGCAACCCCGGCGGTAACTCGAAAACCTCGACCTTCCCCGTTAACTCGTACTAAATTCTGTTTCCCTTGATCAAAAGTTACCCCAACAACTCGAGTTATCACAGTTCTTGCAACTCACCACGGATGACGTCCCGTTGGTTTTTCTTGCGGTGTAATCCGCGGTAAAAACACTTAAACTTACACTACAGCACTTTGATGTTAATTAGTGCAACGAACGGATCACGTTTTTGACAGTCACATTCCTGCATCATCGTAAGTATAATCAGTGGATTAAAGAAGTGGATTCTGGTTTATTTTTCCATTTAGAAATAGAAGAAAAATCAATCAGTGAAAATAAAAGAAATTTACGGTAACACTGGGTTATCTCGCAGCAAAAAGATGTAAATTCTTACATTAATTCTTCTTGCAATTTTACGGCCGCCATTTTGAATCAGCAGCCATGAATGACACTTGTTTTCAAGATCCAATAGGATTTATCAAATTTAGCATTTCGCCCGAATTTGTGCCTCTGTTAATGGATAAAGACTTGCTCCTCAAGATTTTTGTATCATTACGTGGGATAAAACAACAATTATACGCTAAAAGCTTTCAGGTAAATGGCATACGTGAAAACCTATCTCCCCACGTTGAAAACGCACGTCGTAAACCTCAAACGTAACGCGAAAGACTTGTCATGTGACCTCCAGCGGTTAGAGGTTCGCGGTAAACTCGGATCTAAAACTGTCTATTAACTCTTACAGTACTTGTACTGATTAAGAAGACTTTTAGAAGGGCCTTCTAAAAAAGAAGAAGGGCTCAGATCGTATACAAGCACGACTGGTAACAACTTACAAGTCTCGCATTATATTTAGTCTCGCTTGCGTAAGCAGTGAGACTCGTAATCTGCGAGCCGTTTTTTGAGCTATTTTGATGATTGGTGCAGGGGCCAATAAGGTTGAGGGTACTATGAGTTGATGCTTAGGAACCAATGAGATTTTGGCATCTAAATGAACATGACATTGCTAAAGGTCAAACTCGGGCATTTTGAGACCGCCATGTTGATTCTTCACAATTTGTTCGTCTTTTATTACAGCAGCAAACGTTGTGTATTTTGTACAGTGATGCAGCTGTTTAATGGTTCATATTTTAGTGTGGGTGTGGGTGCTGCTTTAAGCCACTTCTGACATAATTCGGCAATCGCGAATTTCATAGTTTATAAGTTCTGTTTCACCTGCTTCAAGGTAGGGTACTAGGAGTAATCGGAGCTTAAGTGAGTGCGTTCGATATGTTTTTTAGGCCTACAGGTAGCAGTTGAGGGGGAAGGGTGGTTGCGATGTAGATAAATATGATTATGGCATATTTTGAACGTAAGGGTTGCGTACAGCGAAACCTCCATTTAAACTGTTTATCATTATAAGAAGGTTTTAATGAAAAGCTGGTCAATTATACAGCCTTCAATGATGCCATCCAAAGCTTCATGTCCAACATCAAATGTGAAACAAGCTTATCTAAAATCACTTCTGCAGATTTGCCAAAGCTTTTCTTTAATGCTGGAAAACAAAAGATGATTTTAGATCAAAGCACAAGAGTAATTTCCCAGTTTTTGCCATCCACCTCAGCTTAACTGATGTCATTAGACCATTTGGCTCACTTCATGTTATTGTTATGTTATATTCAAGTTAATATCACAACTTATATTAATGCAATATTTGATCAGAACTTTAAAGACAATTGTTTTATCTTTCCAAGTTCAAGTTTTGTTAGTGCTGATGTTACAGCAGTATACTCGAGTTAATATCAATATTTATTCAAAGTTAATATCAGAATATTAATATTAATGAAATATTTGATCAGAATCTTTCCAAGTTGAATTTTTGTAAATAATCTAAATAAATTGTTCTTGTTCATCCTGTTACCATTGCTTCTTAATTATAATCAAGATAACATCAAATGTAATAAAAGTCATTTCAAGAAACCACGAGACATTGCTTTTTTCCCATCAGTGCTTTAGCGCGTGCAAAGATGCGGGTATCGTGAGAATTTATTCACTACACCTGCTCATTTCCCCCTCTACATTTTTCGCATTTTATACTGCAATATATTCTACAAAACTAGACCAGTAGCCACATGCAGTCACAGACTGCCTTTTATTTATAAACAGCTTCAAGCATCGTGACCTGATTTATTTCGCCACAGTGAAATATTCATCGCAAGTATTAGAAGTTAGCAGTTCAAACTCCAAAGAAAAATTCTTAACAGCAAGTGTGCTGTTTCCGAAAGAAGATTCCTGAAAATGGGAAAAAAATAATCTTGCACCTCAGCTTAAACGACTGAAGGCAGCAACTTATTGAAGGTTCGTATTTGTCATGTGATTACATTTGCCTTTGATTTTATGGGGTGTTAGTATTCAATACTCTTTTCTTTGAATGAGGCTAATTTAAACCTATGATGCGCCAATTCAAATGTTTACCGGCGAAACATGTCTCGTTCACGTTAAAGTAGACCACGCGGGTCACGTCGTCACATTAGTTATTTTTCAAAAATATGTTCTTTTTAGGTTTCACGTACAATATAATTCTCCGTCGTTTGTACATGCTAAAAGAGAGTCACTAGTATAATCCGAGTGACCGCACAGAACGTTCGATTGAGTTTAATTACCGAGTAGAGTTGCTACAAGTCGACCTCTTGGCAAGCGGAGCGCGCCTTGTTTGGCCGCGAAGCGGCCGACCGCGCAGTTGGAGTAGTTTTATTGTTCATGATTTATTAGGAATTAAACGCACGAGCCGACTGTGGAATAAACGAGATAGACGAAGAGTGCAGTAAATGGTTACTGTGGTCTACTCACAATACATATCGTGAAAGGGAAAGGAGTGTAAACACCAAGGTCCGTAATAGCAGCTATAAAGAAAGTTACCAAACTGCTTAAGGTGGCTCGATACAGTTTTTCATGGTCAATACCTCCCAAGTTTGAGCATAAACTACGTCGCCATAAACAAAGTTTTGGAAAAATTGCCACCACAGTTGTATTAAATAAAGATGAAAATTTGTTATGATCAGGATTGCAACGGCATCGGAGTTGTCATAGCAACGAAATGACGCTATTACCTATTTCACTTGCAGCAGTATATCTCAGCACTAGGAACTGTTCTTCCAAAATCGTTCACGAGAGCTTTTTCCTCCAATAGCGGCCTCGATGTTTGTGAAGTTGAAGCGAAATCTGTAAGAGCGTTATCGAGATATTTTGGGATGAAGTTTTTATGGTTAGAAACACAGTAAAAAATGGACAATATTGTTGTTTGGCCGTTATCTGTAAAAAATGAAGAGCTTTTGACATGCAATTTCACCTCATAGTAGTTTCAATCTTTTTAAAAACTTGTGTGAAAGATCATTTAGATAGCTCCAACCGATTGCTAGAAAGAAGGGTTTGATTAGTATGTATCGAAGCGCTCTTGTTAGCGGTTTTGTAGACATTTTGGTCTTCTTTATCAAATTAGCGAATAATTTTTAAACCGCTCGATAGATTTTTAAAAAAATTTAAGATTCTTGAGACTAACGTTCCTTTTATATGACCTTTTAGTTTCAGGATTATTGATACATTGTAAGGCAGTAAAATAACGGCTACAATTCGCTACGTTTTTATTGGAAGTCTCGTCATTACAAGAGAAAGCCTCTCATTATTCAACGCATTGTCTTCAAGTTTCATTTTCACGTGAACAGCAGTAACTAACAATGTATTTGACATATGCAAAATTGCTAGCTATTGTTGTGCACGAAAGTATGAAACTTGGAGACAATACCTTGAATAATGAGAGGCTCACACTTGTAAACACAAAATTTCAGCCAAAATATTAGCGAATTGTAGCCCTTATTTTACTGCCTTACAATATATCAATAATCTTGAAACTGAAAGGTCATATAAAAGGAAGGTTAATCTCAAGAATCTTAAATTTTTTAAAAAATCTATCGAGCGGTTTAAAAATTATTCGCTAATTTGATAAAGAAGACCAAAATGTTTACAAAACCGCTAACAAGAGCGCTTCGATACATACTACTCAAACCCTTCTTTCTAGCAATCGGTTAGAGCTATCTAAATGATCTTTCACACACGTTTTTAAAAAGATTGAAACTACTATGAGGTGAAATTGCATGTCAAAAGTTCTTCATTTTTTACAGATAACGGCCAAACAACAATATTGTCCATTTTTTACTGTGTTTCTAACCATAAAAACTTCATCCCAAAATATCTCGATAACGCTCTTACAGATTTCGCTTAAACTTCACGAATATCGAGGCCGGTATTGGAGGAAAAAGCTCCCGAGAACGATTTTGAAAGAACAGTTCCTAGTGCCGTGATATACTGCTGAAAGTAAAATAGGTAATAGCGTCATTTCGTTGCTATGACAACTCCGATGCCGTTGCAACCCTGATCACAACAAATGTTCATCTTTATCTAATACAACTGTGGTGGCAATTTTTTCAAAACTTTGTTTATGGCGACGTAGTTTATGTTCAAACTTGGGAGGTATTGGCCCTGGAAAACTGTATCGAGCCACCTTAAGAAACCGGCTAGAGATAAATTTCCATGTTAACTCAGACCTCATGTTAATTAACAGAAGGACAGTTGTCATCGTATTCCCTTCCATCTCTGCAAGGGGATGCGAGGTGTAAAGAGGCTACGTGATCCAACCCTTCACCCTGGAATTTGAAAAAAAACATACCTTATTTGGGGAAGCATTGCAGGTCTCTCACAAACGTACAGTATGTTTTGGTTTGTAAGGTTGGGGTCACGGCGGAGGAGCCTTCTGATAAACTCTACAGCCACCACGGTTTTTCCAGTCCCAGCTACACCCTGAATCCATAGCTCTCTGTGTTCGTCAATCTCTTTGTGAAGCAACTCAAACTGTTCCTTTGTCAGCAAGTTAAGAAATTTTAACCCCTGCTTGTTGGAAAGAAAAGAAGGAAACTGCGCCAAAACTATTACTAGTGACTGCAGGATTTTGTTGATCTTCACTAACTCTTGGGGCGATGAACGTCGACGATACACATCAGGATATCGACTGTCTGGAGACGATATATCAAGTGGCTCAGTTCGTACTCTGTTGCAAAGCACCACCTGGCAGGTTATGTAAAACTTTTCATAGCAACCGCCGTTCCTCACTAAGGATTTCTTCACAGCTTTGGCTGTAGCACGGGCGCACGGGAAGAACTGATCTTGTGATTCACTGCTGACAAGGGAGATAAGGTGGAGCCGTCCAAGCGACTCACTTAAGAGGAGTAAGTCACATATAACCCCATCTTCTTTACGTTTCCCTTCTTTTTGGACAGCAGACAGTATTGAGGAGGAAGCTACAAGAAGGCCGTTCGTGGTTTGTTCTCGTATTTTTCGTATCACTTGTTTTGCTTCTTCTGGGAGGTTTGATTCAAACCCTTTAGGTACCACTTGACATCCGGGCCCAACTAAATAAAAAATGACAAAGACACAATCAAACCTTGTTAACCACGATACAATCTTACGCACAAATGCTGTTAGCATGAGGAGACCTTAAGAGGGTTTACTCTGGGTACCTGCAAAAAATGACACTTCTTAAGTCACGATGGCGCACATCTATTTGTAGAATTCACCATTTTCACCTACGTCATAATGAACCTTGTTTACCCCCCAAAATTTGCATAACCATTCTCTTCGATTTCTCTTGGGACGACTGTAATACCCAGGAGAAATTGGAAACAATGGTTATGCAAATTTAGGGGGCGGGGGGTAAACAAGATGCATTATGGTCTATGTAAAAATTGTGAATGAATGGAAGATGTAAAAAATGACAGTAACTTATACCCTTCGTTTTCACTTGCCTTTTTTTACAGACTTTCGCGGTTTTGTCAGGCGACTGAGTCCCATTCTCGCACTCACGCCCCTCCATCACCCCTTCCCAACAAAAGCACCAGCTATGCAAGCTACATACATTCAATAAACTCAAGTCAACAGGGACGGTTGATTTCAAAACAAAACATAATATCGCAATTAGCTGCGGTGCAACACAAGTTGTTTAGGGGGTGTTATTTTTCTGTCATTTCCCTTTGTAGTCACGCATCTCTCAATAACAGGAAAAATAACATACGCACGCGGGGCCCAGAGCCCAAAATGATCAGACTTTCTAGACACTGATTACAAAACAGCGGACTATTTACTTAACATGTGTGGTGATAAAGGAATTCTGTTCATTGTGACGAACTGCACATTTGTTACTCAAGGAGAGGGTCCTCATGATTTGAGTAATTCTTAGAATATTACATGGAATATTATCTCTTGTTTAGCACTCGGTACTTAACCCTTAAATCGATTCATTACGTTATCTATTTTCTTTTACGTTTTTGTATAGTTTTCTTCCTAAGGGGTGGGGGGGGGGCGTGCTCCCCCGGAAATGTTTGGAAATGAATATGCGCTAAGATACAACCTGCTGCATTTTGAGACACAATTTTGAGAAATGTTACAATGTGTGCACTGACCTTGTCGCGTTTGGATGATTTTTCCGATATAGTTACTTATTTACTGTAATGATAACAATATTTTTGGGTGGGAAGCTGGGCATTTCGGGGGAGAAGCTTCTACCCCTCAAATACCCTGGATAGAACCCTGAGTATGATATTATCAAAACATGCTACAGCTTTCTTTACAGAAAATAAGGGCTTTTGTAACTAAACTTTACGATACAATGCAAACGAAGGAGGTCGTAGTGTTAAAAACAATGCAATGAATGATAGTCATACCAAACAAGGCCCGTAGATAGTTTTAAACCTAAGTTAGTTAATAATTTTTAATATTCCATTGTATTAGTTTTATTCAGATTTTATTATTATTGCATAATTTCGTTTTTTAAACAGTTGGTGTGATATGTCGCGATTTTTACCGACTTAATAAAGTGTAGATGTAGAAGTTTCCCAACCTTGCCTAGTTTTAGCTTTCGATGTACAATAACTTATTGCATTGTATACTGGATGGGTGTTTACAATCAGAAAGCTGTGACTGATGTTTGATAATAAATAGAGAAAAAGGTTAAACTATGAGTTACAAAGTTTCTGATCCAGCCTGCAAAAACCAAGAAACAACCTCAAGCAAGGCAACGGTCAAGAAGGTCCCTACGAAACAATTTGCAGATTTAAAAATTAAATACTAGCCTAGTATGCATAAAAAAATTATATATAATTAAACAGTGTGTGTCATTACTTTGGGAAGAGGTAAGGACGATCTACTAACAGTTTACTGAAAAATACCTGGAAAGAATGCTTTCACAATCTCTTCAACAGAACCTTGGACAGTCCGCAAAGGTCCATCTAAAAGTTCTACCAATCGAAATTTTTCCATTGCTTCCCTGGTACCTTACAAAAAAAGTTAATTTCAGTCAGTTTTCAAGCCCTTCATGTAGCAGTTTTAAGTTAAGGCTTTAAATCATTACAATAAAACCCCACCACAAAGAACCTGGATTTTTCCAAGTTGGCCTAAACAAGTTCTTTTGTAGAGGAGGCCTAACTGGCAAACGTTAGCCTAGCAAGTTCTTAAAATCCAGGATCTTAGTCGTGGGGTTTTACTGTATTCCTGAAATTGACCACTTTACAACCTTGGAAAAACAGTTTTACCCACCCACAGGACACCCATTCTTCAGATTTGGTACCGCCATGAACCCTTCCCCCACCCCACCATGTCTAATGATCAATATTGTTCAGTCAGGGGGAGAAATGATCCAGCCAGAGTTCAACTTTGTGTGTTCTTTTCTTTTGCTAGTTTTTTAAAAAGTTTTATTTTGAAACTAGACATGGCAACGGCCATTATTCTAGACATTTTTGTCCAAGATTGTAGCTTTTTAAACGTGTACCAATGTACCAACCAAATAATACATATATGCCAGAAATATTAAAGATCAGATTCAATCCAACTTCAAATACTTGAGTAAAAATTAGAGATGAAGGACTTTGCTAAAAATTGGGGAATAATGATTGATTCGGATCTTTCATGGAAGTATCATATTGACTTTATCTATCACATATTTGATTTTTAATATCATGGCTTCCTGTTTGAGGGACCGGAAACAAGTGCAGGACAAGCAATTTGACAGTCATTTGACAGGTGTTAGAAAATGAAAGTTTTAATTGGCTCACCGAAACAACAGCACACATTGAAAGCAAAATTAAGATGCAAATGTGCCATGTTGAAAAAATTTAGTCAGTCAATTCGTTCGCTAATGTGACCCTGGAGTCTTTCAAAAACTGGACATTATGTCTGGCTCGAAGTCGCTTCTATCTTTCTTTCATTGGTCTTTGAAAAAAACACTGCAAATGGCCAAGGAGCTTGTTAAGATGATCAGGTGCAGGTATGTTTGCTAATATTTGATGAAGGGATCACTTGTTTTCTCTTATCTCGAATCTCTGCCAGTCGATTTTTGTCTTCTTAACTGTGTACTGTGATTAAAATTTTCAAACACAGACTAGAATCCGCTTCTTCGATAAGAAAGAAGAAAACAATTTTCTGGAATTTACACTGTGGCATAATAAAGTGTATACTAGCCAGTGCATTATTTAATCAGCCAATAAATTGTCAATTGTTATCAACAAAAATGTCAACAAGATGGAAAAAGGTTTGTGCTTGCAGAAGATTACCATGTTATCAGCAGGTTGAGGGGTGGTCAGGATTAGAGGACATGTGTGAGTTGGACCAAATTTGAAGTGGAGGGAATCAAGGTGCATGAGAACCTGGATAAGCACATGTGGAGCCTTTCTCGCCTCCGTACATGTCCATCAAATTCTCCCATTCTTTCACTTTCTCTCTTCCACTTCAAATGCATGCCACTCACAAACAGGCTAATGGAACTACTAACAATCACTTTTTATCCTTGAGAAAATTACTTATCACCTTAGGTAAGCTAATCAGTGATGGCCATTATTAACTGAATGTACTCACCTTTACTTTCACCTTTGCATCTGTCTTTGAGCATTCTCTGCTTCCACTGACTAAAATTAAGGAGGACAACCTTCTCTGCTCCACCACTTCCAGAATCATCCTGCAGCTCAAAGCTCTTTGGGCATTTTGTGAAAATGCCACCCAGGTTCTGCATGCCAGCTATAAGTATCGCTATCACAGACCTTGGTTCTTCGGCACCCATGACGGGAACAAACTTAACATCCCAATGTATCCCCTGCGTGGGTGTAAAGCTCCACGTCTTACTCATCTCTTTGAACATCTCATTGAATTCACTCTCCAACTTTTTTTTTGAACCTGTTTCCTTACCTTGGCCACATACCTCCCCATTGTTTTTAATACCAATGAGAATTACGCCTCCAATTCCATTTCCAAAGGAAGAGATGTGTTTTGCAATCTCATCTTGAGCCTTCCGGTTATTGCTGTGAAAGAGTTCATTTTTCGATGTGTAGTATTTCAGCTGCACTTGTTTGGATTCATGAAAATTCAGTACCTCCTTGTACATGAATTGGCCAGGAACCAAAGAAATAACGTCTGTTAAAGGAACCTGAGGACTATCTGTTTTCTTAGATGAATCTCTCTCAGACAATAAATCGACCACTTTTTGCTTCAGGGGTAGCAACAGTCCTGCATCACCAGGTAAATACAAATTGTAGTCCACTGTGCAAAAATGCTCTGTTGCTCTGATGAAGAGACGAATTGTGTCTTTCTCACGTTTTAGATCAAAGATATCAGCATATGTTGATGGCTGGACCATTAGATTCAGTTTTGGCTGTAATGCTGACCAAAAGGTATCTAGATGCTTGTTTAGGTCTTCAGGTGTTACCTTTGAGAACCCATCGATGTTAATTTCTACAATGCCACCTCCTGAGTTGAGAACCCCGTTTATAGGCTTCAGAACAGTTTCAACATCTTGTGTTTTGAGCGTTGTTGTGCAGCATTGCACATTCTCAAGAAATTTCCTGAAGAGCAAGTAAAAATTAATTTTGGTACACTATATTATTTAGTACAATGTGAATCAAACTAAAAGACTCTTCAAGACCAAAAGACTTTGTTGGGTAGACACAAGATTATTTAATACACTGGTAAGCCCAGTTAAGTTTAAGTTAAGTTAATTATTGTGTTTAAAACAATAAACATTGTATATCCACCTGAATATCTGAGAGGTATTTTAAGGTTAAGAGACAACAACAATAAAAGGCAGTCTGTGACTGCATGAGGCTACTGCCTTAGTTTTTGAAGAAAATGGTATCTTATTATATGAAATTAAATCCACTCAAAAGCATAACTTAAAACATAGCTGAATGTTTTTCTTGATAATTTTAAAAGTATTTCAAGAGCTGTAATAGTAAACCAATGACAATTGGCATGCATTATTCTTTATGAAAAATTGTGAAATTTTCTATACGACTTATGTAACTTTACAGATAAGCAACATTCAATAATAAAATAATCAGTTACTAATAATACAAATCTACATAATGTAGAATACTGTTCAAGAGAACTCAACCAGATTTGTTTGTGTCATGGCTGCATGGCCCTCTCCTAGGGGACAGAACTTATGGTTGCCATGAAAACCAAGACCAAAACATTTCACTGGAAAAACACAATTATTACTTGTAAGCCCAACCCAGTGTGTGCTTTACTCATTAATTAGAGCCTAAAGGTCTTGAGTTACATACATTACTGCAGGTTTCAACAAATGCATGCTTTTACCTGTTGATGGCATTGCAGACATTAGGATCTTCTTTGGCACCCTGAGGAGAGGAGTCATCAACATCCATTGGCTCTGTATCTTCCATTGAAAAAGACACCCAGTTTGGGATTAAGAATAAGTCTGGAAAAGAAAAGTTTTCAAGATGTTTTGTGTTAGAAGGAAGAGTAATAAAACGAGTCTAGGCCTACACTGATGACTGTAAGTATGTGCACAGAAATATGTTAAACTGAGTTCCTTTTTGAGGTACATGTAGTGTCCAGTTCCAAAAAGAGAGAAAAGAAAAACATTCCCCCATGAGCTTGTCTGAGAAAATGTAGTTTCCAGTTTGGTCAACTAAGTCTCTTTATAAGCACTTATCCAACTAGACCACTGAAATTTACTGTGTGCAAAATTAGGGTTGTCACAAATAACTCAACAGGCAGCCAGTGAAAATCATGAGTCTTGAGCCTATACATATTCCACTCTAAGTCTTAGCTTGTTACCTGCTTAAAACATGGTTCAAGTTATCAAGGGTAAAATTCTAGAGAAATGATCTGAAGGGAAACAAAAATTACTTCACAGTAAAACAGCAAAAATCAGTACAGTAAAATCACAGTAACTGTATGAAGGAATTCCAGGTGAAATGTTTTCGAGTAAGAACGATGTTCGAGTTAGCAAGGGTTTGAGCAATCAGAGTGACTAGAAAGTTTGATTTAGCTTGTTTATTGTTTATTGTTTGTTTGCCATAAGTTATACAAAGCAAAAGAAGAAAATCTAATTATCTACACTCTCATGGCGAGGAAGCCCACGTGACGTCACTGGGCTTATAAGGAATGGGCTCCCTCCGTTAGATAATTAGAACAAAATATTATCATAATTACACATGGGAAAATCAATGGCAAAGCTACAGTAAAACTTAAAATATATATATTAGATAGTCGTACTAATCATAGTTCTAGGCTAAAATAAGCGAAATGACAAAAAGAAAAAAAATGAAAATAAAAGAGCAAAGGTAACAACGATTGACCGTTAAAATTAAAAGCTGGCAGTAAAATATAGGGATGCGTTAAGAGATCGTATCTAGGTAACAGATGGACATATATCTATACACTCGTTTTCAAAAAGGTTGACATTTCAAAAATATATATATCTTCTGTTTCTTTGGGCGAAACAAAAGAAAAAACAAAAGGTATATATATTTACAAAACAACATCAACTACTCTATCGCCTGGCGCATTCTATCTTCACACCTGCCGTACAACAGCTCAAGCAAACGATGCAACTTATGTCTTAAAGAAAAATTCCTTATCATCTGCCGACCTGAACTCTCTGCACTTAACAAACGTAATGAACTCATGTCTTCCTGCCACCACAGAAACAAAGCCCTCTTGCGCAACAACTGATGTAACGAACCTCGCACTGAATAAATTATGTAAATCAGTCTAGTATATAAGTAATGGTAAAGTTATTCTCATTAAAATCCCCTGATGAGTGGGCAACCACGAAACAGGCTTGTAGGGATACTTATGTAGTTACTTGTTTTCTTCCGTCAACCATAGGTATATATATTTATATATATATTTCTGAAATGTCAACCTTTGTGTATATATATATATATAAATTACTATTTATGATAAGAGGAATGCTTTAGCTTACAGCAAAAGAAAGCGGTACTTGTTACATTTCGAATGTCAAAACTCAGAGAGTTAAAAAATTTAAGACCTTGGAAACTGATGGAGAACTTTCTTATACTAGTCCTGCATTGTGGTAAATAAAAAAGCTCCAAACTTCTAGTGCCATAAGAATGCACCTGGTGTGTCACCAAAAACATGTTATTGAAGCTATAAGGAAGTAAGCCAGATCTGTATTGATACATAAATTTTCCTATTTGAAGTTTGTAGACACTCTCAAGATTCAAAATTTTTTTGTCATGATTGACACTAACTTTAACCGACCACACAAGGTTTCTATAATTTTACATCTGCCTTTATTCTGACATTGATTTAGCGTCGAGCTTCACAATATTTCCCTAGTTGTTGCTCAAAAATTACAATGCATTACTAGTCTTACTAAACTTGGTTCACTCCGAATTTGCATGTTATTTGTGACACACCATCTGTTTAAAATAAACAATTGTTTAAAGTGCTGTAGTTCAATTTCTCGTGTTTTCTGAAAATAGTGTAATCCCTTCTGTAAACGATAAAAATGTGTTATTTTGTTTGCTCTTGATAAGGATATAAACACTCTTTGCTGAAAACATACTGTAATAATGAAGACCTTTAAAGATAACCCATCCTTGACTGGTAAAACTAAAGCTTGGAAACTAAAATTGTTTCTTGCAGTAACGCCAGATTGTTTGCCTAAAAGTAGACAAGCAATGCAACTGGGAGATGCCAGCATTGCAAGCTAAGACAAATTTAAATTCATGCCAAAATAACAAGTCTTTTTAGCCCATCTCGGATGTACATTGCAGGAAGGAGAACTTTAGGAGGTTGCTACAGAACAAAATAACTCAAACCAGCGAGCTAAATAAAAGTACATGTAGTAAATGAAATGCCGTTAACAAAATACGTGTAGAAGCGACCCGTCACCAAAACAGAGAAGTAAATTGCAGCATCATATTATAGAGTAGTTGGTCCATTAAAAATAATAGTTGCGAATTGATAACTGAAACTGATTTTAGTTGAAAACTTTTAACAATCTCTGAGAAGTCTACAAATGAAGATTCAATCGAAATAAAAGTAAATATTTATAAACAATGCTCATTCGGTCTAAAAACTTGGACAACTTTTAGCCCAGATAACAAAAAATACTAACATTTGAATGTGTCTCGAAAGTTTGATTTATGCTAACAAATTCACCTGCACATGTACAACTGCACTCGCTCAGCCAGCACACACTCTATAAGGTAAGAACTCAAGTAAACCGAATGCACGCAAATTATAACAATCTGCGTGTAAAATTTTACAGGTAGTGTACTTTCTTGTGTATTTTTGCGTGCCTTTTTTTTTTCTTGTGGAATTTGCGTGCAATACGGTGGATTTTAAACACACGCATAATATTGCAATGCCCTTTGCCTGTACTGTAACATGCATCCAAGTTTACATGTGAAACAGTGTCATGTAATTTGAAATCCCGCTTCAGCCAACAGCCAAGGAATTTACATTGATTTACAAAACATGACATTCGTAGTAAGGGAAAGTTGACAACAATAAAATTAATATATAGTTACTTGCTTCTTTTTTCCACAGTGAAAAGACATTTTTCACAATGTCGGCTTCTAATTTTAGACCAGCCATATTTGCTGTTGTAAAGAAATACACGCATAATGCTGCAATGCCCTTTGCCTGTACTGTAACATGCATCCAAGTTTACATGTAAAACTGTGTCGTGTAATTTGAAATCCCGCTTCAGCCAACAGCCAAGGAATTTACATTGATTTACAAAACATGACATTCGTAGTAAGGGAAAGTTGACAACAATAAAATTAATATATAGTAAGTTGTTTCTTTTTTTCCACAGTGAAAAGACATTTTTCACAATGTCGGCTTCTAATTTTACACCAGCCATATTTGCTGTTGTAAAGAAATACACGCATAATGCTGCAATGCCCTTTGCCTGTACTGTAACATGCATCCAAGTTTACATGTGAAATAGTGTAATGTAATTTGAAATCCCGCTTCAGCCAACAGCCAAGGAATTTGCATTGATTTACAAAACATGACATTCGTAGTAAGGGAAAGTTGACAACATGAAAATTAATATATAGTAAGTTGTTTTTTTTTTTTTTTTTTTCACAGACGTTTTTCACAATGTCGGCTTCTAATTTTACACCAGCCATATTTGCTGTTGTAAAGAAATACACGCAATTTGCCTGAATTTTTACAAGCAAAATCAGTCACCATAAAAATACACGCAAATTTGCATGTAAAACGGTTGAGTATAAGTAAAGAGTTTGTGTAAAAATTACATGCAAGTTTTTTGAGTGGATTTTGTGTGGAAATCCACCATGTTGCATGCAATTTACCTGCGTGTAAATGTCTAATTATTATGATAATATTTTGTTCTAATTATCTAACTGAGGGAACCCATTCCTTATAAGCCTGGTGGCTTCTCTTGGGCTTCCTCGCCATGAAAGTTTAAGTAATTAGATTTTATTTGATTTGTACATTTTTGGCAAACAAAACAATAAACAATAAAATAAACAGTGTAAGAGCTACAATGCTTATGGCCTGTACTGTAGAACAATAATAATAATAATGATAATAATTCCATTATTTACCCTCGGCAGTATTTATAGCACTTATGCTAGTGGGGCCAAGCAAATGCCTGAAACAAAAAATTGAACTTAAAGGAACAATATCTCGTTACTGCGCTTGTACCAAACTTTGATTTTTTGACAGGATGTCCCGAAGTCAAAAGATCCCAGGAGAGTAAGAGAACCTTGAAAAATCTGTTTGCATTGCGCTTGGCCAAGTTCGATACCACACTAAGGGAACGCGTCCAAATATCGGCATCGGGTCATACCGATGCCGATCAATTGGGCACCGATTTTTTCCGATTCCGTTGAAGGTCGGACCCGATTTTATCGGCACTGAATGAAACGGAATCGGCAACGGGTCTCAAGTCTTTATCGGGCCAATTAACAAAGGTCATCAAAAATATCTGGAAGCTCAAATAACTCGTCACAAAAGCAAAAGCAAAAGCGTGAATGTTGTTTTTATAACCTTATCTTTCTTATAAATGTGTCTTGTTTGAACCGAAATTTAACGTCACGGTTTCAAACATTTGTTTGTATTTCCTATGACAGAGTATGAACAGAAAATATTAAATTTGTGTATCAAAATGGGCACGAGAAGAAACAACAGGCATCTTTTGAGTGAAAGACGGCGCAATGTACATTGCAAGTGTACGATGTGATAATTTTAAAAAATGATAATTTTAAAACAGCTTGAGCCTTTGCTAACCGGAAGCCAAAACGCATGATTATAGGAATCTTTGGAGGAATAAACAGTTTAGTACTGTAAACGAAAAAAATAGAAGTCAGAACATCCACGACCAAAATACAAATGTTGTTACCATGTTGTGTACTTTAACTGCTAAATTGCCACAGGAGAGAAGAGGACATCGTCTGAGAATCAA